AGCCTACCCCAAAACCTCATTTCAAACATTAGGCTGCTTTGAGATTATTTTCTGCTTTATTTCATGTTCAAAGCATGTGAACTAGAAATTTATGCGGTTAGGACTTGTTCAAAATCAACTTGTGGGATAGAGATCATGTCTGGGTAGGAATTAAAGCATGTAGGGTATGATTTTTATTTTCATGATTGTTTTTTATCTTTACCTCACTAACGTTTTTCATTTTTGTTCTCTTTTATTTTATTTTTCATTTTTTGCATCACTTATTCAAAAGAGGTGTTGATCCACCAAAAACGTGTTCGTTAAACGTAAATAATCTGTATTAATAGACAAAGAGGTTATAATACAAGGGGTGAAAAATGCATAAGTCCCGTTCAAAAGGGTCCGAGATTTACACTATGCACACCAAAAGTCGACTTTTTGAGCTGGCAAAGGTTGCAGGGGCAAGACGAGAAAATGTTATTGACCTGGAGAGCTCCCTTCAAAGACAACATGTCATTTTTGACAAATTCAAGGAGCAAGCTTTAGATAGTTCCTATCGATGGAGGGCTCCAATGGTGCTTATGTTAGGAACAGGGTCAACATAGAGTAAAAACTGAAGATGCTGTCATTCGAGACTTTTTGGGGCAAGCAGCTCGTCACTTGCGCAGCTTAGCCAAAGGAGCTGAAACAACTCGATAGGGTATTCAACAGGTGACAGAAAATATGGAAGACGAATAAACTTTTCAGAGGTTGTTCGAGATCTATACCATCAAAATGTTTTTTGTCTCTTCAGACATAACACTTTTGTCCCCAATAAGAATTATTTATAATAACAGACACATTTTTTGGATCAATGCCTCGAACATTGCATGCATTATGCATTTAAACATATATGTCATTTTGTTATTTTCATTTCTTTACATTTACATTAGCTAACAAGAGTTGGACACACCACATCCACAAAACACTCGTTCAAATAGAAATGAGCAAGAATTCTACGATGAAAGCAATGACACTTCCGAAGTAGAAATCTGTTCATCTTAGAGTACATCAAAAGGAGCCCCGACAAGTGAAACGGTTGAAAAATGGGGAGCAAGTGTAGATGAAGGCCCTGATCCTCGACATTCTGGGGCATCCTAATGAGGTTTTATTCCATTTTGCAACATCCTGTTTGGACTTGTTTTTCTGAACTTTCTCATATTTCTTTTTGAAACCTATTTTTGAACTTTGACATATTTCTTTTTATGAGGATATTTCAATGAATTTACACTGAGAATTGATTCGAATTTACAACTTGAAATTCTTTGAATATCAACTGAATTAAAAAACTCTGTAAATGATTTATAGTTACATATCTTTGACAAAGTAACACAATTAAAAGCCAATAAACCAAAGGACTTTGACCTTACCCAGAATATACACTCGAACACCATATACTTCTCTTACAAGAACCGATATAGCCTTCTCATCTCATCAGGGTATAAATAAGAGGCTTGGCATTTAGGTATGCATAGGTGCGGACAACATGGGGCATCTTTTGCATATGACATTACTATACTTTTTGTTTAGGACGTTTAGTGATGATAATAATCTTCACAGATGGAATAGTCGAGTAGGTGAATCTAGTTTAGGTCAGTTGCTTGGAAATTGAACTCTAAACATGAGATTCCTTGACTTTCAAAAACACCTAGACTATAACAGGTTCTTCTTGACAAACTTAAGAAGTTGAATCCGTATACCTAAATTATAATTATATATATACAATAAAGCTTGAGTTGTCCCTTTAGAGCAATTGGTTAAACGCCCCGGCTTTATGGATAATATTCAGCTAGCCTGATAAAGGTGATTATACTATACGATAAAGCTTGAGTTGTCCCTCTAAGGCAATTGGTTAAACGCCCCAGCTTTATGGATAAGATTCAACTAACCTGATAAAGGTGTTTACATATTGAGTTATCCCTCTAGAGTAATTGGTTAAACGCCCCGTCTTTATGGATTCAGCTAGCCAGACAATGGCGAATTAAATTTATTTAAATAAGGAGTTTGGGTAAAAATGGACTAAAGGAGTTAAGGAACACCTGTTATAGTCAAATTCACACGAGCACTCAAGAATGTCATTTTTAGACCGATATTTCTGCACTACCTTTGTTAGAGGAGCTTACAAAACTTGAACAAATGAAAGATTTTAGAGAACCGAAATAGAAGGTCTAGTAATTGATAATGTTAGTTGCGTCATTTTGTCCGCATCCAATTAAAATATCAAGTCAAATAAAAAACATGTTGCAACAATCGTAAAAAATGACATTTTTTATGGCTGAAACCTTAGGTCAACCTAAAGCCAACTCATCCACTTGAATATTTGTCAAAGAGTTATAATTCTGAAAGCATTAAAAGAGCTATTGATTCCTTTGATATTCTTTGAACTCATGTTTATGATTTGATTCGATTTGATTGTGATCCTGAATTAAGGGGCAATGTTTTACTTCTTCTATTTTCATATCCTTTTTTCCTTCCTAAATAAGAGAAAGGAAAAAACTTTTTCAAACAGAACAGTCTCAAATGTGAAAAGTCTTGGAAGCTTTGAGGCTCATTTCGCCTCTATTAAAGAAAGAACAAACAATGCTCTTGAAAACAATCAGTTCGAGAGACCAGATAGAACTTGTTACATCGTCAACATCCTGAAAAGAAAATGGGGCATGATCGGTTCCAAGGATCAAGGTCGGCAGGCTAAGCACAAGACTCCGTCCAAGATTAATTCATGTTGCATAGATCTTAGACATATTTAAGAGCATCACATTGATCATTTTAGCATACATAATTTTTTGCAGCTTTTTGAGTCAAGTTTCAACTTCAAAACGAAATATACTCGATTCAAAAGCACATTCAAAAGTTGATGGTGATTGCTCAACCTCACAGCGAAGGGGCGACTGTCTGACGACAAAATAACATTCCGAGTCTCGTTCAGAGTCAATTTCAACTTCACAGCGAAGGATATTGAACTCGAAGTGACACAATTTGTTTGAAATAAGATTTCAACTCCACGACGGATGATATCCAACTCAAAACCAATTTTCTTGAGACTGGATTTCAACTTCATGACGAAGCATATCCAACTCAAAGCAACATACAATATTTGGATTTAAACTTCATGACGAAGGATATTCAAGTCAAGGCTCAACTTCACGACGAAGGGGTCATCCAAGATTTCAACTCCACGACGGAGGATATCGTGCTCACAAACCCACGATTTCAACTTCACGACGAAGGATATCGTTCCAACTCTAGATTTGATTTCAACTTCACGACGAAGGATATCAAATTCAAAGCTCAACTTCACGGCGAAGGGGCTTCCCAGTTTCATTCAGAGCCAATTTCAACTTCACGGCGAAGGATATTGGACTCGAAGCAAAATTCATCTTTAGATTGGATTTCAACTTTACGACGAAAGATATCTAATTCAAGTCTCAACTTCACAACGAATGGGCCATCCACGGTTTCAACTTCACGACGAAGGGAATCGTGCTCACTAGCAACATTCATCTTTAGATTGGATTTCAACTTCACGACGAAGGATATCCAATTCAAGGCTCAAATTCACAACGAATGGGTCATCCACGATTTCAACTTCACGACGAAGGATATCGTGCACACAAGCAAAATCCATCTCTAGATTGGATTTCAACTTCACGACGAAGGATATCCAACTCAAATAAGGAGTGTCTGTTAACACACTTTCCAGTTTCAGAGTCAATTTCAACTTCACAGCGAAGTATATTGGCCTCTAAACAACAACTTACATTGGATTTCAACTTTACGGCGAATGATATCCAATTCCAAGGTTCAACTTCATGACGAAGGGGCCATATATGATTCCAAACGAAAGGTATTGTACCCCAATAGATTGACCCAACTTCACGACGAATGAATCATCTGTAACACAGCAACACCGAAATCTTCTGGACAAGTTTCACCTTCACGATGAAGTATCTTGAGCTAAAAGACAATCCTGGAGTCACTTGCCAAAAGCTCTGAGTTCGATTTCAACTTCACGACGAAGGATATCATGCTCAGAATTTTACAGTTCAACTCAACTTCACAAGTCACAACGAAGAAGTCACACACGATTTCAACTTCACGATGAATGATATCGTGCTCAATAGATCGACTTAGTGTCACAGCAAACACTATCAAGTCTCAAATTAAAGAGAACCGGACAAAAAATTGTTGTCTTTTTCATCTTTGCCATATTCTTGTTAACATAAAAATGTGCAAAGAGGAACAACTGTAGACACCCATTTTTGTCCAGGTCTACAAAGACATTATATTATATTATTATTATTATTTTATTATTATTAATTTATTAATTTATATATTATAATCATTTTTTTGCAGGTCTCTCATTTCCATCAAACAACCCACTATCCCATTTACATTTTCTCACGAACAACTACCCACTCCCATCGTGCCGACCACTTCCTCCTCAAACTCTCGCAGTGTGCTCTCCACTTTCAAATCACTTTTAGCATTTTTTTAATTTAAAAAGGGAGGGAGAAACAGAGACTACAAACCTCTCCCACGCGATCACCTTCATCAAACTCAAAGAGGCCGCTTGTTGGCCACCATGCCATGGTGGTCATCTTCCACTTCGACCACTCCCCATGGTGGTCTGATGGCCTTGAATCGAATCCAACAACCCCCAAGACTCTCAGTCTCTTCATATCTCTAAATATGTCGCGATCGAGACTTCTAAATATTGCTCCATTCATCCGTCCGACGAGTGGGTTTCAAGCGGCCATGTAGAGAGATTAAAGAAACCCCACCGTTGTGAAACAATCGGGGCCACTTTCACTTTCTAGCGTGGGGGTTTGCTAGAGCATGGGTTCAAAGCTATTGATGCATGGTTGCTCGTGTGGCCAGGGGGACCTGCACAAACGGATAACAAAAGCAAAAGGAGGGTTTCTCTTCTCTGATATTGATGAGGTCGTCGTTTTCCCTCAGTTTATTTTTGCTAATATTCAACAATGGCAGCGGGTTCGACGACGAGGTCTTTCCTTCAAGATGCAGCCATGGAAGAGGTCGTTTCGCCTCTCCGAGTTATTCAGATCGAAGGGCTGGTTATCTTAAAAATAATCAAGCACTGCAAGGAGTTTTCACCGGCTCTGGTTACCGACCAGCTTCTTGGTTTAGATGTTGGCAGTGTCCTTGAAGTTACTAACTGCTTCCTTTTCCCAGTCCGCAGGGAGGACAAGGAGATTGAAGTTGATGGAGCTAATTATCAGCTCGAGATGATGCGATGCCCGAAGGAGGTTAATGTTGATAACAACACTGTTGGATGGTACCAATCAACGATTTTGGGTTCATATCAGACAGTCGAGCTCATCGAGACCTTTATGAATTATCAGGAGAATATAAGGAGGGGTGTGTGCACTATCTACGATCCTTCAAGGTCTAATCAAGGTGTCCTGGCTCTCAAGGCTTTTAAGCTATCTGATTATTTTATGGAGCTTTCTCGGGCTAATAACTTTACCAGACAGAAGGAATGGAGAAATAGAAAAGTAAAAAGGGACCCATGTTTTAGCATGATTCATTTTGTTTTGAGAAAAGCCCAAGTGAAGTTGGGCTTGAGTAAATTCTTCAAATGGTCCTTCAACTATTCTTGGTAAATCTCATTCTCGGTCTCTGTAAGTTGTATCCTTTATATTTTGGTCACTACAGTTTGTTTTCATTATTTTCAATTTTGATTTCTAATTTTATGCATGCTTTATTTTGGTCACTAGTGAAATATATTTTGTTTTATTTATTTTTGGTCTCTTAATTTCATAATAATTACATTTTAATCACTAATTTTGTGCATTTGATATTGTGTTTAATTACATGGTGATTCTTTAACATTTTTTTTCATTTTTTTAGAATTTAACTTTTGTTATTATTATTTTTTTCATTTTTTTCGTTTTTTATTTACTATTTTTTATTTTATTTTATTTTTTCTTTATTTGTTTTATTTTTATTATTTATCTTTTCTTTTTTATTATCTTTATTTATCTATTTTTTTATTGTTATATTAACATTTTTCCTTTCTTCTTTTTCATATTTATTTTTTTCTAACATATTTTTTCAGTAGTAATTCCAATCGATCAAAGGTAATTAATTCGAATCGGGTTTTTAAATTTAAATTTAAATTTTAAATTTTCACAACTAAGACAATTGGAAAATTAATTGGTACCAAAATGGCGGTTCAAGGGTGCTAATCTTTCCTTGACCGTAACCGACTCCCGAGCCCGACAAATTTATGGTAAAACGCAGATCATGTAAGATGGTGCCTGATCTACCTAAGTATCGTTTTAAAATGATCGGTGGCGACTCTAACCCAATAATTAAAGTCGAAACCCAATTTCAAGCCTAACCGAAAGACGACCGCGACAATTATATAATTGGTCTCTTATATGTATACAAAATTACGAGATCAGTGTACACTAAACTAATTCTGTATGGTTTTGCATATAAGTCTTATTTTAACAAATCAATCAGATAATAGCGAGTTTGTTTTTTGTACAAGGATGGTGAAACTTCTTTCAATGATAAAAAGATTGTTATAGATTTTGTTTATTTTTTTTAGTAATTTTCTCAAAAAAGTATATATAATTCAATCATAAGTGAAGACGATAATTCTCGATGACATCTTTATCTCGTGGTTGGCAATTCTTCGCTTTTTTCGGATAAAATCTTTGCTCCTCAACAATAAAACCTTCTTCTGAAATTCAACAATAAATAAAATAATAGTAATTAAAAAGCAAAATATATAACCATTGTCATTTCTATTGCTATTATCATTGCTGTTATCATTGTCATTGTTCGTTACCATTGTTATTTTTATTGCCATTATCGTTGTTATTGACACATTGTTCATTATCATTATCGTTGCCATTCTGCGGAATTTGAAGGAATTCTGAAAGTTCCAAGGACGGCCGTTACTGGCGCTTCCCTTCGTTGGCACACCGATCGTGTGCCCTGCAGCGGCCTCCCCTCTGCCCCAGCCGACTTGATAAAGTAATTCCCTCCAGACAAAGGTAAATTATAAGCGTTTTGTCAGGTCTTTTCTTTTCTTTTTTCTGCTATCCCTTCACAGTTTCCTTGCAAAATTCTACAACATTTGTCTAGAGTTTGATATTATACATGTGACAAAGATGTTTTGTTTGATTTTTTTTTATCTAATTTCTTTGACAAAGTTATGACAAGTAGGACAAATTTAATGAGTTTTCTCGACAGGATCTTCGACTCATATTTGGCAGCCAATCATGACGGCCGGGTCCGAAATTACAGCCACCTCAAGTTACTGGTTGAATTGGAGGTTCTTTGTTTGTGCACTTTTCATCTTGTTCTACTTGGTCGTGGCCGCAATTTTAATTTCGAAATTCGAAGGCGGTCGAAAATCGAATCCTCGGGGTCGAAATAATCGTAAGGTAGCTCCAGGTGTGGTATACGAGGAGGAAGCTTGGAATACATGTCTTAGAAGCATTCATCCTGCTTGGCTGCTCGGTTTTCGAATGTTCGCTTTCATTACGCTGTTAACATTGCTCGTGATCAATGTCTTCATCGACGGAATGAGCATATTCTTCTTTTATACTCAGTGAGTGATATATATATATACAGCTTATATATTCTGCAACTGCATTGATTCTTGTTCTATCATTGTGGACTTAGCTGATGATTTATTCTCTTATGTTCCTGAACAGGTGGACATTTACTTTGGTCACAACATACTTTATGGTATGTCTCTTGTACCATTTTTATCATCTCCATATGTTCCTTTCGAACAACGGTACTTCGTCGTTTTTCGATTGCTGATATTCTCTGTTTTGATTGTAGCTTGGATGTGTAATCTCCATATACGGATGTCAAAAACACTGGGCACAAGCTTGTCGTGATAGCGTCGATGGTGAAAGTTTAGATACTGAGCAAGGCACCAATGAGTCCGGCCATTCGAAAGACAGCAAAATAGCTGGTGGATGGATTTATGCCTTCCAAATTATGTATCAAGTATGTTTTCTTCTAATCAGTTTCCAAAATGTTGTGTAAAATACCTGCACATTGTCTTGCCTGCCTTTTTCACCTGGTTTTTAATTATTTGCTGTCTTTGAATAGGCTTCTGTGGGTGCGTCAATGCTCACTGATTTAGTATTTTGGATCATTCTTTTTCCGTATCTGAGGTCCATACCATACGGTGTGGATTTGGTAAGTAAGCCAACACCGCAAACTAGAATTTTATTCGGAACTTGTGTTGCTGTGCATATGATTGAAACAATTTTAACTGCAGATTCTTATTGTCTGCATGCACTCTGTCAATGCTGTTTTCCTACTCTGTGACACAGTTTTGAATTGCTTTGTGAGTTTTGCTTCTGTTTAGTACTCATGGTTACATCTCATTTCGAGCCTCTTTCGACGAAATCACGAAGCTAATTGTACCTTATTTTCCCCTGCAGCGGTTCCCCTTTTTTCGAATTGCATATTTTTTCTTATGGACCAGCATCTTCGTTATATTCCAGTGGCTTGTGCATTCTTATTATAACCTTTGGTATAGTTCCACGTCTGTTTTACGGATTTTACTGTTTCTATTTGGTTAAAGTCTTTACTCTCATACTGTGGCATCCGTCTCTTTGCAGGTGGCCATATCCGTTCCTCGACTTGACACCGTTTTATGCTCCGTTTTGGTACACGTTTTAATCTTCATTATGCTACACATACGCACGACATTCTCTGTGTATGTTGCTAACCGTATCCATTGCTATGTCGGACCGAACAGGTACCTTGCAGTCGGAACGATGCACTTACCGTGCTATTGCGCCTTTGCTTTACTTGTTAAATTCAAGGAATCGTCACTGTCAAGGTTGTTTCCTGAGTCCTACCGGAAAGTCACATAAAAAGGAGGAGATTTCCCGCATAGAAATTCCGGATTAACACCGACGGCTAGCAGGAAGAGTACAAGAACTCGGTGTCTTCATTTCGGTTGTGTACTAATTATCATGAAAGTGTATAGAATCCCAGATAGTCAGTTTTATCAAACACCAGGATTCAATTTGTACAACATGTATCGAAAATAAAACACCCCAGGGTTAGGATTCTTCGAATCTTTTGCTATGAAACCCGAGGTTCTTCGGTGTTATTCGCCGGAGAAATCGATGGGCGAGACATGTATGTTCTTGCCTCGGCTATGCCAATATGAAACAAAATCCTGAAGGCAATCAGAGTTTCATGAAACTAAATCAATGAAATACATTCTATTCATGCAAATCTGCAATTTTGTCAAGAAAATTAGATGCAAATCTGATAAGAAAATCTACAAGAACGCCTAAGATGAATCCAAAGATTACCATGAAAATTTTCATAATCATTTCCAGCTGTATTATTTCAATCAAATCCAAGGAAATTTCTCCTGGCCATTACGAGACAAGGCACCTTAACTCTATCAGCTGAGCTGCAATTGAAAATTTATTTATTTTTTCACCACAATTTACAGGCTGGGAAGAATAAGAGATGTCTGAAAATGAGAATGGGGAAATTGGACATGTATTTGTCATCCTCTTCATTTGGTTTCAATTCTCAAACTCCCAGTATTGCACAGCCTGTAGACTTATGTCCAGAATTTATTGTCTGAATTGCATCAAATATGTAAAACTTAATTTTTACTTGTTTTCCCACATCGGGGAAAGTACACATTCATGCCATTTATGGTTCTATTAAATCACCGCTTTTGGCCTTTTGTTTCCTTTTTCTGAAGCAAAGTATGATAAACGCTAATGTTTATTGTTCTATTTATTACTATATTATTTCATACTCCAAAGAAGAAGAAAAAATGTATATATTTTAAATGAACAATAAATTCAAGGGTAAAATATATTAATGGTCATTGAACTTTTCTAAAGCTTTCATTTAGGTCCCTCAACTTTTAAAACTTGCAATATAGTCCTCTAACATTTAGTCCGTTTGTAATATGGTCCCCGACATGACCGGTCGTTTGACGCCGTTACACTGTCGTTAGTACGTTTGCAATATGATCATTGAACTTTTCAGGCGCTTGCATTTAGGTCCCCCAACTTTTAAAACTTACAACACAATCATCAATTTCATTTTAAACCCCAAATTCTTTTTCGATCTCAAATTTCCTTTTTTGCTTCTCTCTTCTCATTTCTAGCGTAACTTTTCAGTCGGGATACATGGGAAATTCTAATCTAACTTTGAATTATATGGAGGTGTTAACTTGAATAAGGGTCCATTGAGAGAAGACTCGACCAAGAGACTATCGGGACCATCAAAGATTCAAGGTGTAATGTTAGATACAGGTCATATCGCAAAGGTACTAACGGCAGTGTAACGGCGTCAAACGGTCGGTTACATCGGGGACCATATGCAAATAGACTAAATGTTGGAGGACTGTATTGTAAGTTTTAAAAGTTGGGGGACCTAAATGAAAGCTTTAGAAAAGTTCAATGACCATTACTATACTTTACCCTAAATTAATAATGAAAATGTAAAATAACTTTATATAAGTAAATTTTTATCATGTTTATTGAAGAAAAATAAAGTATCAGTGTTTTTTCATTTGATAAAATAGATTATCAGTGTTAAATAGAATATAAAAAAAATTATAATAACAAAGAGGCTAAATTTTGGTGTATGTTATGGGTGTATGAATAACAAAATATCAAATTACAATGACTTAATTAAGACCTTGAAAATAAAACTAAAATGAATTAAAATAAATCCTAAACAAAATAAAAATAAATAAATGACATTTTAGTCTCCAAAATTATATCTTGTTTTTAATTTGGTGTTTGGAGAGTTTTCTATTTAATTTGATCTTTGAATTTTCAATTACGATGCATATTATCAAATATGTATTTTTAAAAAATTTATAAATTTTTTAAATTTAATATAATTATACATAAGGTGATACGTTTTTATATTGTTTTATGAATTTTTTGTATGAGATATAAAAATATACATTCTTTTTAGAGTTGAACACATATATTAATAACATAAATTGTTTGTACGAGATTGATATAAATAAAATTGTAGGATGAACACTATTAGTAAAATGGACAACAAACATGAAGAAATTCGAATTTCATAATAGACACGTACCTATCCTAGACAATACTTGCATCAGTCACCGATCGAAAAGTTAAAAAAATTAAAGTAAATTAAAAATATAATTTAATCTTAAAAACGTATAAAAGGATATCAAAAGATTCTTAAATGGGGAAAAAATCTATTTGGATTTGAATATTTTTCCAGGAAAAAGAAAGAAAGGAAAATACAAGCAACCAACTACCTGCCATCTTCATTAACTAGCAAGTCCCTCCTCACCAAGGTAAATTCTAATGTGCTTTGCTTTGCTTTACTTTTGCTTTGTCTCTCTTACTGTACGATACAAAGAAGAAGCAAAGCATATTCCCATATATGAACGTGTACTTACTTGTCCGATAAATTCATTCCTCACCATTCTTATTCGTAAATTGTAAGCGACTTAATACCCCATCTTTCTTTTTCATTGATATCGACCTTCTTTCTCCCATTTTTAATCTCATCAAAGCTTTATGGCAGTAACCCCTCTAAAGTAAGGAATCTCTTCTCTGTTTTCCTTTATTTTCTTTCATTTTTCATGTTGTTTTTAGTTTTAGTATTCCTTCCTCTGCCTCTGCCTACAGTTTTCCTTTCACATTTTCCTGAATTTTCTTTGCTTTTTCGTTCTTGAAGATATTGTTATTTGATTTTTTAGGATTACCCTTTTTTGAGCTTTCATGTTGTGTTTAGTTAAGTTGATTTTCATTTGTTCATAAAGAAACTATGATAACCAATGGAGCGAGTAAGATTAATCTCTTGAGTTTCTTATCAGGATCATCGACACATACTTGGCAGCCGGTCATGGCGGCCGATACGGCCACCGTGAGTTACTGGTTGAATTGGAGGTTCACACTTTGTGCATTGTTCATCTTCACCACTATGGTTGTGTCAGCTGTTATAATCTGGAAATTTGAAGGTAGGAAAAGATCAGAAGATGGAGATAATAATAAAGAAGCTCCTGGGATTTTATATGAAGATGAAGCTTGGAATACATGTCTCAGAAGCATTAACCCTGCTTGGCTACTTTGTTTTAGACTGTTTGCTTTCTTCATGCTCTTGGCCTTGCTTCTAGCCAATGTCGCCGTCGATGGAACCGGCATATTTTACTTTTATACTCAGTGAGTAATGAATCTCTACACCTTATCATGAGCTTTCTCGTTGATCATTGTTGTTGCCGATTCTTTTTCAGTATAACAGATGTGTTTTTGTTCCTGAACAGGTGGACATTTACTTTGGTCACAATATACTTTGGGGTATGTCTCTTGTTCCGTTTTCATCATCTCTATTGATCGTTTCGAAGTATGATGCTCCCTCGATTTCAAGTTGCAAGAATGTCCTTTAATAACTTGTTGATGTATGCGCTACAATTGTAGTTTGGATCTGCAATTTCCATTTATGGATGTCAAAAGCACTTAGGAAATGTCGGTGGTGATAGGACTGATCATATAAGTTCAGATTTTGAAGGCACCTACACGCCTCCCATTGTTGGAGAAACCGCAATTGCGTCCAACCGGTCCAAACATTTTGATACGTACCGATCACCTTATTATCCTCCCAGAGCAGGTGCATGGACTTATGCCTTTCAAATCATGTATCAGGTATGTCCTCCTAGAATTGCTTCTGTAGTAATTATTATATAGTTTAGATACATAGATGAAGTCATTGTGATTGGCCTAATGAATATGATGCCCTGGTCAAGCAGAGTTTTTGAAATTCTGGGTGGATTGACTGTATGATTATTGTTTTACCTTGAATAATGCTCTTCTGTGACTTTCTCCTGATTTTTCGTCATTTCGGTGTCAACCGATAGACTTCTGCAGGTGCTGTAATACTCACTGATTCGGTGTTTTGGCTCATTCTTTTTCCGCTCCTGACGGCCAAAGATTACAGTCTGAATTTCGTAAGTACGAGACTGCGAACTCTAGTTTCCCTGAGATGTTTCTTCCTTTATTTGTATGACATCCTTGTATCTGGGATTTATGTACACAATGTCAACTGCAGCTGCTCGTCTGTATGCACTCGGTCAATGTCGTTTTTCTTGTTGGTGACACAATATTGAATTGCATGGTAAAGTTTCCTTTTGCTGATCATCTACGTAGCATCTCATTTACAGTATCTTCTGATCATTTACAAAGCTGATTTCAGCGTTTACTTGCAGCCGTTCCCGTTCTTCCGAATCGGATACTTTGTTTTATGGACAGGCACATTCGTCGTCTTCCAATGGATCATCCATGCTTGTATTAACCTCTGGTAATCTCATATTACCATCTCACCGTTTAGCTCTCTTTTGTGAAAGGCTCTGTTCTCACATTGTGGCACCCATCTCTTTGCAGGTGGCCATATCCATTCCTTGACTTATCGTCGTCATATGCTCCTTTATGGTACGCATTCGATCATCTTGGTACTGCATTTAACTCGTTCGTACGTCCCGCTAACGTGCTACCATATCCGTTGCTATGTACGATTGAAACAGGTATATGGGAGTAGGACTGATGCACATCCCATGCTATGGCATCTTTGCTTTGATGATTAAACTCAAGGATTTTGCTATGTGGTGGACATCCCCCGAATCGTTTCGGAAAAGGACGTGAAAAGAGGGATCGGTGGTCGAAACCCGGGGACGCCGTCCATTATCACGAAGCCGGTAACAATTTATACCGAAAACATAATCGAGTTTGTATAGAAACCATTGTCGACATGGTAAATACACAAGATACATATCCTTAAACCCTGGCTCATTGTCCGCTCTCAGGACTCACATATGTTAAGAGTAAATAGAAGGCTGAGATTTGTGAAGCCGTTGGGTTCTTGTTAGGAATCTGTTAGTGGTTAGTTACAATTTGTTGGTGGGTTGTTTTGGTTTTGTTGGTTAGTTATCAGTATTTGGGATATGAAACATTGTACTGGGCCTGGTGCCAAACAACTATTGAATCCAATTTGTTTGTTAATGAGATTTTCATCAGGTGGCACATTTCTCTTTATTCTCTTGCTATTCCGTTCATCTTCTTCCGTGATTTCAGTTCTCCGGCCACCGTAGTTTTAACGTGGTATCAAATGTTTTGTTTCCAATCCGCATCCTCGCTTCGGTTGTTCTCCTCAGTCTGATCTAGATTTGCAAAGGCCACATTCGATCACAAAAATCGATTATCAAAATAATTCAAAAATTTAAAATAATATAAACAAAGATATCTCAATTTAAAACAATTTCTATAAAAAAAAACTATAGCTTATTTATTTTTTAAATCAAATATACGAATAAACATTTATAAAGTTGAATCGGATAAATTTTAAATTTTATACGGTCGCTTAAGTAATCATTTATTGTATTTGAATAGTTTCACTATCACTCTTACAACGATGTTGTCCCGTCACAAACATCAAAACTTATAATTTGTATACAAAATTATATAAACGTTAAGTTTCAGTGGCGGTTCTAAAAATTTTAATGATTCCTAAAATATTCATCATTTTATAAACATATTTTCTTTTCTTATTTTTCACATAACCATTTCATATACGTATACATTTTAATATTTTTATCATTTTAAATATATTTTTAAATTTTTAGTTTTAAATAAAAGATAAACTAATTGATATCAATATTAACAAAATAATAAACTAAATGATATTAATTTAATAAAAAATTATATTTTATCATTTAGTTCAATTTAGCAAACATTTAAAGTTTAAAAAACTAAAATATTTTTTTTTACAATTTCAAAAGCCATAAATACTATTAGACCACAAAATTTCAAATAGGATGATTATATGTCTAGTTGTGTGTGGTTGTATGATTCAAAGGCCCATATCTTGTGTTCGTGTTGACAAGAATATGACTTGGGAACTGCCTCCTGATGGTGTTTACAAGCTGAATACGGATGGTGCTCGGGGTTCACTTCCTGTGGCAGGATTATAAGAGATTCAGCCGGTTCATGGTTGGTGGGGTTCTCGACGCGGAACTCTGGGTCTTTACGAGGGGCTGCGTCTAGCTTGGGATAAAGGTTTGCGGAGGATTTTAGTGGAATCGGACAGCAAAGATACGATAACTTTGCTTATCAAGAGAGAAGCTTCAAGGGGTGTTTCGTCGTTAATCCCGCGCGTCCATGAATTTCTGCAACGCGATTGGTCTATTTCGCTTCGTCATGTCCCCAGGGAGTGCAACAGAGTAGTGGATACCTTGGCTCACCTGGCGTGGACTCTTCCACATGAGTATGTTGTATTCCACGGTCCTCCAGAGGAGTGCAACGCTGCCTTCCATGATGATACTTTAACTGCTGCCATGTAGTATTTTTGTCTTCTCTTTTTATTCAAAAAAAAAAAAAACTTCAAAAATCAAACAGCATAACTTATTCAGTAATGTCAATGATAAAATAAATATTATTTTTTTATAAATTTTGGATTGGCGTATTATTTTTACAGAATGTCCACCTAGGTATCAACCTAGGGCAGGGCCGGATATGGGTCCCCTAGAAATTTTAAATTTCTATATATGTTTAGATTTTTTTTTGTGTTTTTATTGAAAATATGTTTTTACCTTCCCCAAATTTCATTTAAAATTTTATAAGTTATTCATCTTTAATATAAAATTTTGCATCTATCTTGTGTACACAATGTTAATGATTAAGAAAGATTATAAACAAATATTACTTCATATTCACATTAGACGGTTAAAAAATGCATATCTAAAAAATGTTAAACTAAATCTTATCATTTTTTTCTTTGTATTACATGTTATTTATAAATTTCTTTTTTATTTTTATAAAAAAATTACTGAACACCATAAAAAAAAAGGAAGAATCGAGATGGATTGATATCGACAATTCTAAAAATTTTACATTTTCATATAATTTACATATCTCTAATGATGAGAAATATAATTTCATCATTTAACATAAAATTTTACTCAATATTTATTACAAAAAAATTATAAAATAATTTTAAAATTTCTAACCATCCTACCACTTACCCTTGCCGGCTTTGAAATCGAATTGTTTTTTTTTTTCTATCATTTTTAAATAAGAAAAAAGATAAAGGTAGGAAAGAAGGATGGCAATAGGTAGGGCAAACATCTTATGAAATTGACAATGGAGTACATTACACTTTTCTTTTTCCTATTTCTTTTATTCATCAACGTCAAATGAACCCTAATCTTCATGAGTCATGGGGTTTGGTGTTCGGTTCGGGCCCATGCCACTTTATGTCTTCTTCTTTTCTCTTCAATCACATCTCTGGTTTGCTTTAAATGAGCAAAATAACTACGGGTAAAATACATTACAGATCATTCATTATTAATAAATTTTTAATGAGTCGTTTACTTTTAAAAAACTTATAAACTAGTCATTTAACTAATCGATTATTACATGCAATCCATTGAGATGTTAAATATTAGACGGCTTTCTGATGTGTACAACTCTATTGAGATATGGAATTATTTAATTTCTCCAAAATGAACCAATTTTCAAATTTACCTTTTGATTTTTTGTTTGTTTCCTTATCAAATCAATTGAAAGAAATGAAAATATAAACGAAGGCCACATGTAACATATTTATTAGAGAGAGAAAATTAATGAATAATCTGAAAATAATTATAGAACAAAACGTTAAATATTTATCTTAAGAAATAAAAGTTAGGTACTTAAAGTGAAATATGATATAATTATAGCACTTACTTTATAATAAAGTCTTATAAATACAATAAGTAGTTGGGTTTGGCGTCTCGAGAATAGTAAGTGGGAATCCCTTTCTCTTCCTAATTTACTAAAACCAAATTATAATAAAAAAAGAAAAACCAAAAAATCATTTATTAGACAAATAATTTCAAACAATATTAATTGAAAAAATATCAAACTGCACACTTAGGACTATCCCATCTTACAACACTCGTGTAAAGATCTCACATTATATAGGACATGAATCTCCTCCAACGTGAAAACATTTTTCGGAGAATATAAATTAATATTAGATTTAACACCTTGCGATATATAAAAGCGATGCCAATGAAAAACTAAATTGTTGCACCAATTATCGTATTCTACAAAAAAAACTATCACGGGTAGTTTTACAAACCTCGCGTTATACAGAAGACGAGATATATTTTTCCAACTCGTATTGCAAGTGTTTATATGCGTGCTTGAGGGGTATTTTCGAGTAGTTAATTTAAAAAATTTCGTAATTCATAAGATTAGAGGCGTATTATTGAAATTTATCTTTCAGTTGAGATCTATATCAACACATAAAAGATATTGTAAGCGAGTTAAAAATCACATTGAAAAAGGTTCCAAAGCTTGTTTTGTGCATGAAGAAAAAAACTAAAATGATTTTATAGGCATATTCGAGGGGTTTTTTTCAGATAGCTAATACGAAAATTTTCGTAATTTATAAGATTATGAACATTGTATTGTAACTTATCTTTCAATTCGAGATAATATCTACACATATGAGACATTGTAAGTATGGTCAAAATGTAACACCCTAATCCAGTTAGACACGAATATTCATGGATTATAATGTTATACAGGACTACTGAAATGGTGACCAAAATTTTCTTTTAAAATTGCTTGTAAATATCTAAAATTTAGACATTCATAATGTATTATAAAAACATGATAATAAATTGGGTTTACAAATAATGAGGAGCTCCCAAAATACATCGGTAAAATAATACAGAATACTGAGTTTCAAAAGGGTTACGACTGATTACATAACAAGGTCCATAACAGTATATGTCCTCTAAAGATGACTTAAGTCATCTCCGAAAATTTACTCTGCTGCACTGGAATATCTGATAAAGATAGCTCCCCACAATCTGCCCTTAAGAACCTGTGCACAGAAACACATTTCGAACGTTAAGCTTACGAGCTTGGTGTCTCACTAAAATTTGTACTATACTATATGTCTTCACTAAATGAAATGGAAAGTGGCACAGGTCTGAGTATACAACTACTAAATTGTTAATATGTTGATGGCATCATGGTGCGGCTGAGGAATTCTGTATCTCAGAGTTCACGTACCCCTCTAGTACTGTCGAAGCACCATCGGGTACTCTTGGGTGAGATCTGAAATTCTGCATCAGAACTGACACCCACCGACTTACTCTGTCGAGTCTTAGGGCATCTGCACCCAGTCGGTTGTTGTAGTGTTGTGGCACTAACTTGGATCCACTGACTATCATATTTTTTCTAAAAGGAAACTAGGGTGTCCTGATTATTTTTCGAGCGTCAACCAAGGCTAATTTTATGTAACCCTAGCTATTTATGTTTCTATTGTTCTTATATTAAATATTTTTCTCGCTTGAAGTCTTATTTGATGATATATTAAAGTTTTGGGGTACATCGAGTCTAATTCCCTTTAAAACTAGCATTTTGTCTAAAACAAAATGAAAGTATCAATATTATCCCAAGATTATCGATACTCCTGCAAAAGTTCCGATACTTTATATAAGTACTGATACTTTTAAACATTCTGTTCTGGCTAGTTACGAAATTTTCTGGGAGTTTCAAAACTATGACTCAAAGTATCTATACTCTTGAAAGAGTATCGATACTCTTTCCCAGAAACTCACGAGTTTGCCTAATAAGAAGAACAAGTTTCAATATTTTCCCTCTAGTATCGAAACTCAACATGCAGATAGTATAAAATAAGTGCAAAAACTCTTATTCTAATATCCCAAAGACCTTAGTGAGGTTTTCAAACATTATTAATGTTTTATGAAGATACTAATGAGCATAAATAGGGCCTTAAACATGTTTGTAACTCTAAAACATGAAATATACCATGGAAATGCTTCAAGCTTAACTGTAACATTTCATCTGAATGACTTACATAAGGTATAGTTGAGTCAAGAAAGAGTTACCTTTGATGTTATACTGTTGGAAACGTCAAAGACTCAGCCTAAAGTAGATTTTTCTTTCCCCTTAGCTTTAGAGCCTTCTCCAACCTCTTGCACTAAACAAAACCAATGCAAGGGTTATTACTGTTGCTAGGGATTGGGGAGGGTTTTAAAACACTTCCTAAGACTAGAAATATATGAAAAATGGGTTGAAACCATCTAGTTTCTTAAACCCTTCTAAAACCCATTCTTGAAAACTATGGTGACATGGGTGGTTTGAGAGATTAAACCAAAGCTTGAAATGCATGTGTTATGATTTTACCTTTAGAACACAGGTTAGGGACTGAAAAATGATAAAGTTCACACCTTTACCTTGCAAGGGAGGAGAAAAATGAGAAGAATAAGATATGAAGAAGACAAGGAAGTGAAGAAAAAGATGAAGCTTTTATCAGACGGTGATATCCCCCAATTTTAATAATTTTTAGTTTTAATTTGAACAAGGGTAAAATTGCTTCCTTGGTCCCTCTAATTTTGACTACAGATTCAAAACACCATTTTATTCACTATTGGGCTTACTTGAAGCCCAAATCCTCTTCAAATTGGATCAAGACTTCCTACAAGCTAAGGAATTAAACCAAGTTCCATCTCAGGTTAGCCCAATACTTCTAACCTGGGATTCAGGGCATTACAAAAAATCACTTTCAAAATGCCAAACCATGGTTTTGTGCATGAAGAAGAAACTAGCATGACTTGATAGACATGTTTGGGGAGTAATTTCGGGAAGTTAATATGGTTTTTTTGTAATTTATAAGATTAGAGGCTTAGTATTAATACTTATGTTTCAATTGAAGCTAGTATCGACACATACAAGACATTCTAAACAGTGTAAAAACCGCGTTAAAAATGGTTCAAAACAAAAAAAATGAAAAAAGTAGTACAACGAAAAAACACATCTTAATCGATCGAAAAAAACCCTAAGTTACGAAGGGAGGTATGTCATTTGTCATATCAGCGTCACGAGCGATGCGAAGAGGATGCCTTTTTAGAAACGATAAGTTTATTGAGAATGTCAAGTTACTCATGTTGAAGAAGGTTCATACAAAAGGCGAGTTTGATTTTTTTATAAAAACATAATTTGGAACTACGCCCACGACTGCAACAACCATAAACAACCTCTAATAACATTTTTGTTCGAATTAGTAACCATTATTAATGCCACCAGAAGAGGATGTATTTTTAGAAACGAGAAATTTCTCGACAATGCCATATCATTCATATTGAATAAGGTTTTCCCATGACCTTGCAAGAGACATTCTTCATACGATGTCCTTATAAAAGACATCCACTTTTGGTGGCATAACTTATAGCACTGATATTGACATAAGGTTCTCTAAGTTTCATGTCATGTTGTGCCACCAAAAGAGGAGTCCCTTATAAGTAGAGACCTCGTGTTGAAA